CAGGGATCCATCCTGCCTTGTATCAATGGTTCAAAGCTGGTGGTGGTGTAACGGTGTGGGAGACATTTTCTTGGAACACTCTGGGCTCCATACTAATTGATCATGGTTGAAACGCCACAGCCTTCCTTAGTATTGTTGCTGACCATGTCCATCCCTTCATGACCACAGTACTACCTATCTTCTGATGGTTAATTTCAGCAGGATAATGTGCCATGTCATAAAGCTTGAATAATCTCAGACTGGTTTCTTGAACATAATGATGAGTTCACTGTAAAGTGGCCTCCACAGTCACCAGATCTCAATCCCAAAAAGCATGTTTGGGATGTGGTGGAACAGGAGATTTGCATTATGGATGTGCAGCCGACAAATCTGCGACAACTGTGTGATGCTGTCATGTTAACGTGGACCAAAATCTCTGAGGAACGTTTCCAGTACCTTGCGGAATCTATGCCACGAAGGATTAAGGCAGTTCTGAAAGCAAAAGGGGGTCTAACCCGGTACTAGCAAGGTGTATCCAATAAAGTGGTCAGTGAGTGGATGGCTTGCCAGGCTACCACGGTATTGCATATGGTGCACAACAGGTTTCATGTCATGTTTTGGGTGACTTGCACATGTTCTATTCATAATATCTGATGACAAAAGTGACAGATTAGGGTTACGTTTCATCTGGAAGGAAACAGGAAGTAAAATAGAGTTAGGTTACATTAATCAAGAGTTGGAGCGATAGGTCAGAAATGAAGGAAAATACACCAAATGCAAGGGTAACTGGTATGAGGTGCAGGAAAGTTACCATGATGGGTGAATCTTGCAATATGTGTAAAATTAGCAAATAATTGACATAAAGTTAATAGTTGCGATAGCTAAATCACAACTTCCTGGAGAGAACAGTAACCAGAGTTCAGTGTTATCGTGTCAAACAGGATGTTTGATCAACTCTAAAATAGTTTTTTTTTCTCTCTCTGGTAAAAAAAATTACAAAAAAGTTTTTTTTTAAAGTTTCCTACAATTTGATGAGGGCTAGATATAAGGAAAGTAAACCAGGCCTGACTAAAATCACGTCATGTGTAAATGCTAAATAACTAAAAGCTGGGGGAAGTGACATTTAAATAAACCAATACAACAAACTAAATATGCTGTAAAAAGTGTGCATTACAAAACATACCCACGCCTCGCTGTCACCTGGAAACTTTTCCGCTCAGCTGAGTAGAAACAAACAAGTCAGATCTTTGTTCTTCAGCTTGTTGTTGTGCAGCAGACGCTCCTGCTCTTTGATGTAGCTTTTATTTCCTCTCATTCTTTTTGTTGTGGCTTTTAGCAAAATGCAGCTAACATGAATGTACCTAGATGGGAGTGATGAGCAGCAGTAAGCGAGGTATCAGTCGTGAAGTTTCCCGAGCCAAACGCCAGTACTGTGATGGTTCTAACACATGTACAGCTACACCCCAGCTGCTTGTGCTTCACCTCCTCCCTCTCCTACAGAGCTTGTTGCCGTTTCACGCTGCAGCTCAAGAGGTGGAAGTCACGACAATGACAAAGTGGAGTATTAGAACACTTTTAGTACATTACCAGGCCGATGCCCGACGCTGGTACCAGTATTGGTACAAGACTAGAACAACAACACAATAAACTAGATAATAAGTGAAAGTGGTCCACAAGCACAACACAATTAGCTAAAAGTGGGACTAGATTTAAAGAGGTAATCCAGATTCCCTCTGAAGATTAACAGCTTCTTCATGTTCATGTTCTGATACTCTAAAACTCAGCAAGTGGTTTCAGTTTATCAGATATGCATACTTTATCTGTGGGACTTGTTTACAGCGGTCTATAATTACATAGATCTTAAAAAAAGGAATAATGCACATGCAGGCTGTTACAGTCATTTACAGTCATTTCTAACATATTATAAATTATTTACCTTCGTTGTTTTTTTCTGGCTACAGCTGGACAAATTAGCCTCAAAATAACACATCTCGCTAAACCTTCAAGATCACAGCTCAAAGAAAATTGCAATAACCAAATAACAGGAAACTAAGTTATTCTAAATGTGAAAAGAAAACATAAATATTTCCTCAAAGGAACAACTTTTTAAATGCAAACGATGAAAGATTATTTTCTATTTTTTATTTACATTGACTTAATGTGAGCAGGATGTTGCTACAAAAGTCCTAAAACAGGAAGCCTATCTTGAATTCACCAAGTTGAATTCAGGCATTATTTTTAGTTGTTTCCCATGAAAATCACTGTTTAATGTTAAATGTTCACAACTGAATTTAAACTTGCTGTTCTTCAGGGATCTACACAACAATCACCTAAAGCAACCCTCCAGTGTTTCAATCTAATGCAAATAAAAAGCAGCACCAGAAAGAAAAGGATCAAACATAAACAGCATCTTCACTCTGCTAACATCATGCAACAGCATCAGTAATGTTCACAAACTGCTCAGCCTTCCAAAGTGCACTCAGAGACATGTAGGGATGCTTCATTTACCTTTAAACCACACAGAGCTGCTCGTGGCTCCTCCTAGAGGGTCTTCATTTCCTGAATGTCCTCTGCTGTTTTTAAATTCAAACTTTCATATTTGTTTTTGTTTACAGTAACAGTTTCTTGCATGTTTTGGAAGGTGTTGTGCCTTACTGGAGCTTTGTCCTCCTGTAGCAAAGCTTCTTTCATACAACTGAAGAAGTTTCTCAAGACTAAAATGCTACTATGACCCTTACTGGGTCCACTTCTTATTGGATTTGGTTCTGAAACAGCCTTATTGTGCGCCGATTATCCAGGTCCTGCAGACTTGTGTGGCAGCGTTGCTCAAAATGGTCACTGCAGCTTCACAAAAATAAAAATGTGTCCTTAGGGCCATGAGTTGTACACACTGAGAAGCGCCAGTGTGTTCACTAATGCTAACCCCTGAACCGTGTCATGGAGTGACGTATAAGCAGGACACGGTTCTTCGGTGATTAGAGGAGGGAATTTTAATTTAAAATGATTTACGACTAAACAGCTTAAAGAAATTAAAAACTGAAATTTCAATGTATTTCTATATAGATGACTAAGTGCCTACGTTGAATTTGAATGATTTTCATATAAACTCTGGCCAGTACCATGACTGAAGGCAACCCCACTCAACACAAAACACATTAAAGACACAAGTTCAAATCATCTCTGCTGTTGCAGGGAACCTATTTTAGGCCACTTGTGTTGAAATGGGGTCAGCTGCACATTTGAGATGTTGGCTCTTAAAATCTACCCTCTGGTTGAATCCTCCCTGACTGTTTCTGCTGGACCTGGTCCCAGCGTAGAGCTGCTTGCAGATTTAACGTGTGCAGACAGCATGCCCCTCTTTGTGAAGATGAAAGGGTATCAAATGCTACACGGACGTTTGAAGGGGCTAACAGAAACAATAATATGCAACTCCCTTTGAATTCCATCTTGCTTGCGTCTTCTCTGTGCTCCAAAACAGCTAAAGAAGCAACTTGTTTTCAAACCAACTCACTAAAAACTCATAAGCAAACACCCGTACATGACAGAAAATATCATGCACATTAGGAAGCCGAGGAGACGGCCACACGGATTCTATTTGATCAGTCAACAAAACAAAGAATCAATCAAAACTGAGCTAAACGGATGCTGATTTCACCACACACAGGTAGGCACGACTATCTGAGGACAGGTTAGCCTGGTGAATGCATTATCATTGCACAGCAGGTTTATCTACCTGTGTTGCATCATTTGCATGCAAAGCTCACTGCCAAAAGAGCTCTTTTCTCTTGACAGCAGCGCAAGATGATAAGGGTAATGCAAGTTTCTCAGAGAATCTCTAAACCACAGAAAGATACATGCTCCTGTGTTCTCCTTCGCCTCCCTCGAATAGCTGACATACTTAGACAGTGGGTTCAGTGGAAGATAACCAGACAACTCCCTTTTTGGTAAACGATGGGAGAAAAATCTGCCATTTTGCTCCATTTTTTCCACTTCAGAAAAAACTACTGGGCTTAAACCGATGAATGAATAGGAATAAACATGGCTGACAGTAGTTGTCTTGTTTCTGTAGACTTGTAAACAAAAAGTGAGATTTGATGTTTAAGGGGCCTAGCTATGTGCTGTTTTGTTTTTTGTTTTTTTTTTCATCTTGAATTTATACAATTACACTTATCCAACCAGAATAAAAATATTATTAGCAAACAAACACTATTCCCTCATAATGAACGACAAAACAGCATGTCATGATACCATCAAGGGAATTGTGATGGATCCAAACTTCCTGACAACATTCCCATCTGAATAACCTGGGCGCATCATCCTCCTGCTCCTGGATCTGTTAGTAGGAGGTAATCTGACTACTGTGTTTATCTGCTCACAGATACAACCAGAGTAGAATGAAGAGTGAGCAAGATCTCACCAAGATACCATCACCTTACGCGATCACATTAACGCACCTTAAACCATCCAGCGTGTTAAGAGCATGAGTCACGGCTGATCCAGGACCTGTCGTTTCAGCCTCATTAACATGTTCAGAGCTGAACCAGTTACGCCTTTTTTCCCCGGAACGTGCTAAGTCACTTCAGTTTACAGCTAAATAAACCCACTCTTTCTTTAGCACACAACGTTTTAACAATAATATTACACACCAGCGACGTCGTGACAACAAACCAGCTCGGTGGCTGCACACTCCAGCCGGAGTGACGTCCATCTCTTAAAAGTTATCCTGGTAACTTGAAAGTGGTGAGCTAACTAGCTAAATATCATCCCATCTCAGACTGCCACATACAGAATGACATCTCCTTTGTTTGTGAGAGAAATCAGACCTCGGAGCTTGCATTAGCCTCTTCTGCCATGTAGTCAGGGTAGTAAAAGAACAGAATAGTGTCACGTAACCGGGAGCTAGTGTAGCTTGGTGCGCAGGGAGGGGGGGACTAGCGCAGCTTAGCTTGGGAGCTAACGGTTAACTAGAAACGCTCGTCCTATCAACACAGAACGTCTTTTGTTTTTTTCTTTCAACATACCTGTGACCACCTCTGCGACCCAGAAGGATCCCCACCGAGACCGTCACCTGTGAGTCACGAGCCGTGCCGTGCCAAATAATTCAAATTCCACAAAAAAGTCTCGGAGAGACCCGAGCAGTCCAATCGCTTCAGTCACCGCCGCTGAATGGCTGCGACCCGGAGACTCAACCAAACCTCCTCCTTGGCAACGGACCGCCTCCGTGCGAGGCCATTGGCTGGCGCGCGCTGATCGGAGGTGATCGATAGCTGATTGTAACCTGGGCCGGAGTCAGTGACGCAGTTGTGAGCGGAACAATTACTACATGCGCAGAGACGCTCATTTTTGCTGTGAAACGGAAGCCACAACAATTATGGGTGGATATAAAGACAACGTTTTGTCAATGAAAAATCAGAATCTTACATGTTTACAGGTGAGACTGGAACCATTAGTTCAGTTAGTCAACTTAAAAGGTGAAACTAACATATTGGAATAATTCCAGGCAAAGACAGAAATTTCAAGCCTTTATTTGTCATAACTGTAAAGATTATGGCTTACAGTTTATGAAAACCCCAATATCTAAATCCTAGACCATTAATATTCTAGGCTAATCGGCTTGATCGGAAACACATGCAAAGGGTTCCTGAGCCTTTAGTCTTTAGCCTCTCAGTCTACGTTTATTTACTGACATAAATTAACTTTTGCACCAGATTCTAGTTTTATTGTTTTTTTTATTTGTTTAAAACACTGGTGATTAATTCAGGTTAACTGTAACCCCCATCACACACGCACGCACGCACACACACACACACACACACACCTGATGATCACACACTGGCCCCTTCAAAAGGCCAGAAGTTTATCAGCATTCCTCACAAATAGCTAAAAGGTTACAGAACAAGCAGAAACACACACACACACACACACACACACACACACACACACACACACACACACACACACACACACACACACACACACACACACACACACACACACACACACACACACACACAAGGCTAAAAGTAGTTGGACCTGTTTTGTAGATTCTTACCTTAGCTGTGGTGAAGAATCTGTTGCTGTCCCAGATTAACTATGCCTCTTTATCTGTGACTGTTTTTTGTTCTCCGTTAAGTTTCTCTTCTGATTCTGTTTCAAGGTTTTACAGCAAAGAAGCACCGATCAACCTGTCCCAGAATTTTCCCTTTGAGCCTCACATCCCCTCTTTTGTTAGGATGGGCTGCCTCCTGCTGGAAGGTTGGACTGTCATCAGGTCTTTTTTCTTGAACCTGAGATCCTTATAAAATAATCTAATTAATGCAGGCGAAACAGCATTTCAATATAAAACAGACAAATGAATATAATTCTCATAACTATATCCAATACAGTCCACCCAGAACAGAGATGAGAAAAAAATCTGTCAATAATTTTTATTTTTAGCTGAACATACTTTTGATGTGCTTAATTTTAGCCCGACCACAGGCAGCAGAACAGAGCAAAACATATATGTGGCTCAGCAGCCACAGAAATCTCCAGGGTTGTTATTTTGTAGGTCAGAACCTTTAAAGTTCATGAACCTTTGTTAGCTGCAGCTAAGGATTAGGGTTACCGGGGTCAACGGGAATTAGGGGTTAGAGATTTGTGTTCTAGTGATAGGAGCCTTCATTTACTTAGGCTGACCTTTCAACTTCACCTCACCTTTCATCATGCTGTGACATAATTTTATGACCTTTCTAGGATCTCAGTATCACAATCTGTCCATGCTGTGAAATAAAGTATCTCCATAATCTGACTTCTCAAACATTTGGATCTTATGGTTCCTGGGTTTTGTTAGCAGGAAAAAGGAGGATTGTGTTTTTTTTCTCAAAAAGCAAACATTAAATTCTGGCTGAACAAAGTGAGTCGAGGACCTCTGCCATACACCTTTATCTACAGACACATAACAAAGTAACTCGCACCAAAGCCTACCGACTAGCTGTAAGACCCGTGGAGGAACCTACTGGATTAAGTGTGTGTGGGAACTGGTAACACGTCCCTCACATCACTGTAGAGGAGTCTTGTCCTGCTCTTCTCCACAGAACAGTCTGAATTCAGCTCCATTAAAGGGTTCTCCAGCAGGTATGGCCTGTTTAAGGTCAGATGCTCTCATTCAGGATGTCCTGCTAGAGAACAGAACCCATGGTTCCATCAACAAGTGTTCCAGGTCCTGAAGTAGCTAAGCAGCCCCAGACCATCCCACCACCACCACCGTGTCTGACTGTCACTGGTTCACAGAGCACCTGGTTGGTCTGGAGTCTTGTTCACTTAGTAAATGAACTCTTGTGTGAAAACTGTCTGAAATATTAATGGGTGAATGTGTTCACCAGCTCTTCTCTGATTAAACCCCGTCTCTCTCAGGATCTTGAGCTTCTTGCTCCTCTTTAACCACAGCACATAACCAAAATTTAATCACAATTCACCACTGATATGTCAGATAGCACCATTCTGTGCTCATTCCTGTAGTCTCACTCTGTTTCCTACCGGTGCTGCAGCAAAGTCTGGATGAGGGTGTCGTTCGACTTCCTGGTCATCAAAGCCACCCTCTAATGATCAACTCTTCCTGAAGCACAGAGAGCACGTCTCAGCACTGGGCTCAGCCTCTGGACACCACGAAGCATTAAAGCAAATGTCACAACAGGATTTTAAATCGTGTTTATTGATGCTTCAGAGAGCTGTTTTTAGATAAAACAAGAAATTCTATTTTAAATAACTCCATGTTTCTTAGTCACCATGTTTTATTTCCCAAACCACATGTAGGTTACTTTACACATAAACAAGCTGTTTCACATATTTACACAGATCTTTGTAGAGACAGAAAAACAATTCTAATCATTAAAAACAACATTCTTTGGGTCTGACCGTGCAAAAGAATAATAAAGTCCTGCCTCTGACTGGAATGGGGACTTCGGGACTGCTGTGTAGCACTAGAACACTCAGGTCTTGGATTTTTGAGATAAAGAGCGGCCCGGTCCAGATGGTCACACCTCAGTCTCTTACCGGGCCAAATGAACGCGGGGCAGGTGCAGCTCAAAACATCAGCTACAGTAAATCATCACAATTCCAAATCATTGAAGCATATTATGAGAACAGAAAATAAAAAGTGAGATGTGCATTAGTTTCAGTGAAAAGCTGAGAACACGTAGAAGAAGTGCAGCATCCTGAATGGATGGAGACCTGTACACAGAAGACCTAAGGAGGTCTGCTCCACCCGTCACTGAGCTGCAGCCAGGAGGTGACATCAGGAAAATACTGGACTTAGAGCTTTTATCCCTCAGCAAGATCATCAGAGTCCTTCTCATCCAGAATCACCCCAGCATCTCCATCCACTGTCCTCCAGGCTTCAAGGGACGACTTGTGGCTCCCAGGACTGGCTGGCCATCTGGGGGCGACACTGAGTAATAACCAGCGGTTCCGTTAGGGTCTGGCTGTCCAGGCAGAGCCCGCTGACCGAGTGTTGCAGAGCCGGGCCTTTGGGCTTCCACTTCTGCAAAGAGAAAGCAAAATAAAGTCAGTCTGAGTCAGTGGGAGCAGATGTTTCAGATCCTGTCCTACATCAACAGGGTCATGGTGAGGAACGGGCTGAGTCACACGGGGATTAACACATGAATTACTGTCTGGCTTCAGTCAGAGCAGAAAACCAGCCGGCAGCCAACCATCACACCAGAGCTCAGACTGGCAGTCAGCTCAGCTGATGACATCACACCTTCAGAGCGATAGACATGAAACATTCTGCATGTAATGTTTGGACTTTAGAAACGATGACATTTATGTGAATTTGATTTTGATTTTATTCTATTTTAACATCAAGCATTTGTAAAGTATGCATTTTATTTAACATTCACTGACATCTTAAAATTAAAGGAAAACATTACAAATACAAACATTAAAGGGGACATATTGCTTTAAGTTATATCTGTCCTCATTATCCAAACAAAACACGTTTATGAAGTTCTTTGTACCAAAGCGATCTCAGCAGTTTTATTCTTGACATTTTCAGTGCCTTCCAGAATGAACCGTTTCAGGGATCTGTTGCTTTAAGAAAACAGGCTGGAGCTGGTGACCCCCCCCCCCCCCCCCCCGCTCAAACTGTTGTAAGTTGAGAAGCTCCAGTATCCAGGAGGGTCTCAGTGTAGAGCTGCTGTTCTCTCTTGCACATGAGAGATGGTTCTGTTCTAATTTACTTGTTTGTGACATCACAAACGGGGACTTTGTGAAACGGCTTGTGTTAGGCGCATCATTGCTGAAATCAAACGCAAACAGAAAACAGATGGATGGATTTTTTTCATGTTTTGGGAGTGTCTATAGAGGCGGCAGAGAGCCACAAGGCAGCACAAAAGGGTGCAAAGAGGTAAGTTTTGCATAACATGTCCCCTTTAATCAAGCAGAGCAGGGCTGTGAAGGACAGGCTTGTCTAAACAGGAGAGTTTTGGTTTCTAAATCCAGAATGGATGGTTTGGGATGTAGTTTTGACTTTAGAAGTGAATATGTGGGGGACACAACCGGCATGAGGACCCGGGGATGGGGGGAGGTATCTTTACAGTAAGTATACAAAAAGGATTCCCGGTTTAACGGTCCCCTAAACCGGTTTTACAAACGTGGCTAGCCTGAAACCCCTCCCACTCACCATGGTAACACATACCGGAGAACAAACCTGCTCCATGGAAGGCTAGCAGCTAGGCTTACTGATGCGATTGGACGAGGCAAGTGACGTCACCTTTTTCTTGTTAGTGGCTATGAGGTGGTGAATTAGTGCTACCGCTGGCCCAAAGCAGTAGCAATGGCTGCAGCTTTGTTCTTGATGGCTAGAATAGTAATAAATGTGGAGTTTAAACTTTTAAAATAGAGTTCTAATTGGATTAAAATCTTAACATTTTTTTCTATTTAATCCTCATTTGAAGCCAGGAGTGTTTCATTCCACTGATGTTGCCCCTGATGTCAGCATTATTAATAAGTATAATTCTATATCAGCTTCTGTCTGGGATGGACCCGTATAATGAACATGCTGTCCTCTATGAATATGTTAAAATAGCCTCACTACCTCACAGCTGCTAACATAATACATATGAAGTGACTATACATTTACTCTGGTCACACGTGGCAAACATGGTAATATTTGATTAAAATGGCATGCGTAATGTTTTTTCCTCGGTGTGTAATATATGTGCTAAATGTATATTTGTGACAAATGATTTACAGAGTTAACTTTAGGGTCACGTGACCACGAACATGTGTTCTTAAAACTCACAGCTGCTCAGCAAAAACAAAGTCCTCCAGTCTCTAAACATCCGGACTCTGGAACCAAACATGAAAACGACACATAAATTATGAAAACTTTAATAAAATATGTAGAGAGCTGAAGCAGACTTCTGGCGTTACCATGACAACATGTAAACTCTGCGTGTTGTAACTAAATAGCGCCAGCTACACAGCTTTATTCAAATAGCTCATGGTCTCCACTTCTGATATCATTGTAGTCCTCGTAGGCATGAATGAATAATTATTGCTCCATCTGGACAAAGGACAAGGCTCTGTCATTTCCTTCCATTCTCAGTTATCTAGCATCGATTAACAGGGGCTGCCTATGGATGTGCATGAGCCTTGATTGCCGATAGGGGATTGAATCCACCTGAGAATCGTTTGTGGAGCCGGTGAAATCAGGAGGGGAGCACTTTGTCAATCATGGATTTATCAGGAGATCACAGATGTTCTAAACTCGCTTTCTGGAATATCCCCCTGGCAGCTGGAAACTAGAAAAAAGTGAGCACAGCCCGTTTACAATGTGGAGTGACAGCAGGAACGGCCAGTCAGAGGTTAGCAAGTAACAGGTTCCAACACAAGCAGTTGTTTTCTGCTTGGTCCTAGTGCTCAACCAGTGTCTATTTAATATTGCGTAATATTGTTCTTGGATGGTAAAAAGTGCAGGGGACAAAAATTTTCTTTGGAAAAAGTGTGTGTGTGTGTGTGTGTGTGTGTAGGGGGGGGGCGTGTCCCCGCCTGTTCCACCCCAAAATTACGTCCATGGTTGGGAGGCAGATTAAATAGAGAGCTGGGAAGAAGCAGACATCCGAGGAGACACCAGAAGTGAGGCGGCTGATCCCTAAATGGATGTCGGACAGGAAGTCCCTAGAGCAGTTTGATGTGATGAGACGAAGCTCTGACTACTAAGATCAGCAGTGTTATGGGCCAGTTGAGTTTTATAGACTGATGAGTGAGAGGATGAGTGTGGCTGAGCTGTTCACTGTGTATCGATGATAAGGCCCAGACTTTAACATGAGGGAAGGCTTTGAATAACAAAACAAGTTGGACCAGAACCTTGAGACAGACGGGCCCTGAGATGTTCCCGATAAGCCCACAACCTGTGAAATCCTGAAGGTGAGTTCTGTTTTTAGCTCCACGAGTAAGTGGATCGAGCTGAACCTAAGACTGCTAAGACCAGATTTGAGCCGTCACATGAACCAAGTTGGGAGGAGATGAAGGGGTTAATCTTCAAATCCTAGAGAAAGTGTGTATGTGTCTCTCTCAGTGTAAACATGTGATACTACTTTCATCATGGTGCAACATGTATGTTTCTTATATCTGCATTAAAGTGAACAAAAGCCATTTAGACTCTTAAAACTCCTGAAAGGATGGATCAGAGTCCAACATTCACCCAGAAAAAACGAACAAAAATCTGTTTTAAATCACAAATCAAATGTTAAAAGATCAGATCACTTTCAAATATTCAACTGAGGCGTGGTGTCAGTTTTCAGGGGATTTATCTCCAGCTGCTGCAACCTGCCTAAGCACCCCTGAGCCACACAGTGTCCTCTCCCTCTCTCATGCTGTAATCAGTGCAGGAGTTATTATAATACCGAGCTGTAGAAAGCTACAACATGAGAAAAAACAACATAAAGACCTGGTTTAGTTTGTGTGTGAATGACAGTCACGTAGAACTTTGCAGATGCTGGATGAGATTAGATAATGACAAGGAAACAAGGTGACCCCATCCAATCCCATAAAATGTAGATTAAATATGTTAAAAAGCTGTCAAAATGTCAACATCTAAGCACATTCAGATGGCTGCATGTTATAAACGAAGCTCTTAAAATACAAAATACTGAAAACATATTTGGATTCATGCAACGCATAGTGTATTAAATGGGAGGGTATTTGCTCTGATTTTGGTGTTGTCCAGAGGGGGGTGCCCCAGGGGTCAGTTCTGGGACCCCTCCTATTTATTTTGTACATCAACGACTTGGACCAAAATGTTTCTGATGCTTATATGTATTTCTATGCCGATGATACAGTTATTTATTGTTTTGGAACATCACTTTCTCAGACTGTTGAATCCCTGCAGAAAGCTTTTGATGTAGTTCAGCACTCATTACAACAATTAAAACTAGCCCTTAATGCTGAGAAGACTAAGTTAATGCTGTTTACAAATAGAAAAATGCCAAATATTGCACCAGAAGTAATCACAATGGAAGGGAAGGTCATACAGGAGGTCCATGAATACAAATACCTCGGAGTCTTAATAGATAACTCCCTTACCTTTAAATCACACATAGACAAACTAGTGAGGAAACTAAAACTTAAGTTGAGTTTTTACTTCCGAAACAAGCAGTGTTTTTCTTTTAAAGCAAAAAAGCAACTTGTCACTGCCACTTTTTTATCTGTATTAGATTACGGTGATATTGTATATATGAATGCTTCCCTTACTGTTCTACAAAAGTTGGACTCGGTGTACCATGCCTCTTTGAGATTCATTACCAACTGTAGAGCCGCCACACACCACTATGAATTATACTCACGAGTGAAATGGCCGTCATTGGCCACTAGAAGACAAAATCGTTGGTATGTTTTTGTTTACAAAGCAATGCTTGGAATATTACCTCCTTACATTTGCACATTAATCACATGGAAAAGTGTTCATTCTCATTCTTTAAGGTCCAATGATCAATTGCTGCCCTCTGTCCCGTTTGTACGAACAGAGTTAGGAAAGAAAGCTTTTGTTTATTCTGCCCCCTCTACCTGGAACCAACTGCAGATAAAATGGAAATTAACTGAACTGGATTCACTACATGCCTTCAAAAGCAAGCTGAAAGCCTCAGAGACTGCATCAGTAATTTGTAACTGCTTTGAATGAATGTATTGTCTTATCGTTGTTTTTATGTGTTAACTGTATAGAATTTTGCTGCCTCTTGGCAGGTCGCCCTTGTAAAAGAGATTTTTAATCTCAATGGGTTTTTATCCTGGTTAAATAAAGGTAAAAAATACATTCTCTACTGATGATGCTGTTAACAGTGAATCACACCAGACAGTGTTAAATATTACAGAATAAACATGAATATAATGCTCAAGTGATTATTGCAGTCATGGTTTTAGATATCACTGATGCTTTTAAAAATGAGTAAGAACTCATTCTGACCCAAATCCAGCTGCTGCACTTCTTTTAAAATCAGATGCAAATGGTAAAGTATTAAATAAATCAGCCACTCAGGAGGACTCCAGAAAAAACTCAAAGAACCACATTTCTTTTATTACTGAACTAAAAGCATCAATAAACCTTTACCACAGCAGCTGAACTGCTCCAGACAGGTTTATGTGTGTTAGGGAAGAATGAGAGGTTCACTGTCACAGAGATAAAGACTAATCCCAAACAGGCCAAAGACCTCTCACTGCCCCAAGAGGCGGATCGTTGATGGGAAGAATCCCAATTTATCCTGAAAGATTGTGAAGGGCCGGAGTAGGGGTGAGAGAGGGACCTGATACTGTTCCTGCACATGCTTGGTTTAGTTGTGAGGTCATAAATCACAACACAGCCCACTCTGAGCCATGTAAAGGGTTGTCCCCCCCACTTCTAACTAGAAAGCGTGTTCTACTGCAGCTATAAAAGCAGCCTGCCAGGACCTGAACCAGTAAAATAAAACCAGTCAGGCTGTCTGTAACCGAACAACTCTTATCTCAAATCCTGTTTGACCCAATTCACCTTGAGCTGCACAACGTCAGCTTGATGCAACATTAACAATTCTGCAGGAAGCAGCCTTTCATCCATCCATCCGTTTTCTGCCTCTTATCTGGGGTCGGGTCACGGGGGCAGCAGCCTAAACAGGGAGGCCCAGACTTCCCTCTCCCCAGCCACTTGGACCAGCTCCTTCGCAGGAAGGCCGGGCGTACACTGTGTAACTTTTTCACTTTTTTGAGCCGGTTTTCCAGTCGTGCGAGAATCCACGACATCGGGGCGAGTTTTGCGCTGAGCGGTCGTGTAGTGTACAGGGGGTTACGAGAGGCGATTAACACCACGTGACCAGCTGCGGATCAGCAGTCGTGAGGTCGCACGGACTTCTGGTGTGTTTAATATTTCGCTCGTCCCTCGTGAGGGAATCGCACTGTTGAAGCGGCGCTGCGAGCAGCTGCGACCCAAAATGTATCAGAACCGCTCATGGCGCATGCGCAATCCTGCATCAACACCGCTCCCCGCTATTTCCCTAATAACACATGTTTTAATTTCTACACGTTTTTTTACTCACAAAGATTGTCAAGAAAGCGTGTTTGTCGTGTTCATGTCAAATTAAATTGATCACTAAACACAGATTTACTTTCTTTATTTCGTTTTCCTCATCCAACCCCCAAAAATCCCTGTGTGTCCTCCTGCAGCACTCCCGAAGGACAACAGGCAAAACAAGACCAAAAAGTCTAACGTGTTGTGTAAAAACGGCTATTTTTAGCATATTTTTAGGGTCGACGTGTTGCTACCAGACGTACAGTGTGAGCAGTCAGGTCGCATCCGAGAACTGGGTCGTACAGTGTGAGCGCATGACTCGTGAGATTTGCCCTGCGAGGAAGTCGTACAGTTTGAGCTGAAGCTGAGTGCTACGAGTGAAAAAGTCGCACAGTGTACGCCCGGCTTTACGAGGCCAGGCGCCTTGCTTACGAGGACACTGTCCTTCCTTGGTCAAAGAAAACGGTTAAATGGAACAGACTTGGATCACATGACCATGGCGGTCATGTAACATCACGTGTCACGGGAGATAAAGTAATATTTTATACGTATACATTTCAATATAAATATATGACGAGTCTTTTATGTTTTAAATTGTGTACGGTGGCACAGGAGTTAAGTGCTCGCCCCATAATCGGAAGGTTGCAGGTTCAAGCCCCGCTCAGTCTGTCACTGTCGGTGTGTCTTTGGGCAAGACACTTAACCCACGTTGCCTGCTGGTGATGGTCGGAGGGACCGGTGGCGCCAATGCTCGGCAGCCTCACCTCTGTCAGTGCACCCCAGGGCAGCTGTGGCTACATCGTAGCTCATCACCATCAGTGTGAATGTGTGTGTGAATGGGTGAATGACTGATTGTGTTGTAAAGCGCGTTGGGGGGTTCCATGACTCTAGAAGGCGCTATATCAAATACAGGCCATTTACCATAAAAATATAAGTGAGTTGCTACCCGCTAGCCACTGAAGCTGCAACTACTAAGCAACTAACCAACCATAGATAACTTCTTTGGATCTAAAAAAAACATTTTAAATAGTTGTCTTACTTTTAAACTTGAAATTTGCCCCGAAGTAGCTGCTGGCTTCTGATCCGCCAACCTTTTGAAAATACCGCGGGGTATTCTGAGTAATTTTTGACCAAGGCTAGGCTGCAAGACACCTCCTGTATCCTCGGCTCGACCCAGCTTGACCCAGCTGGAAAAGTGTGACCTTTGTCACAAATTAGAGGCCATTCATGATGCTACACTCAGCTAGCTAAATGGCTAACAAACGGAGAACACACGCCTTGATAGAACATGAACATTGGAACATGTCTTGGCGATTCCTGATGATGTATCTCCTAGGCAAGTGGGGCGGGGCCAAAACATCAAGGCAAGGTTCCTTGGCATTGAGAAGTGTCTCTCCAACGTGTCCTGGGTCTTCCTTTAGGCCAGTGGTCCACAAATGGTGGCCCGCGGGCCACGTCCAGCCCGCAAGCCCTCTCTTTGTGGCCCCCAAACCCCGCGGGCACCCCCCACCCCCACCCCCGAAGGCCGACCGAGAGGTTTAGCATAGAGCTGAGGAAAATAATCAAATAATCAATGCATGAGATGCGGGCATAACCGGTTTTGCATCATAGAAGAGTACCATAATCAATTATAGTGGAATGTAGTTTTGTTATTTTAATGGCGGCACCAGCGTAGCATCCAAATCTGTCAGAGCGAGTGTTCTCCACATTTACCGGGTAGGAAACTTTGATCTGCCTTTATGTGGTACTGCAGGGCTGAGCGCTGGAGTTATAACCTCAGATCGAACCCGAATCGAATCAGCCCGACCGGTTCTGTTGGATTTGGGCCATAAATTATGTTAATTGAGCGGGTTGTCGCACGGCGCGCTCTGCTCGCTCGATCAGCGACAGAGAGAGAGAGAGCGGGAGATTGTCTGCTCACACAAGAGGATCGGAGGACGCTCCTCCAAACACACATTATTATTTTCATAATTTCATTATTGTTTCTGCTGGAAGCGCTCAGTCAGACCGAGTGCTGTGATGTCGGGAGATCCGGTCTTGGGGAGGGAGCGGGGGAGAGTGACGGCGGCTGCAGCGTAATCATCTGTCTCTTTTATTTAGGGACACGGAGAAGTTAAAAGGAGAGAGAAATAGAAGTTCTTGTTCCACTTTATTCTTTTGTTCCATTATGATAAACTGATGTTAAATTCAGCTTAAAGAGAAACTGGGAGGTAACTTTGGTTCATTTTAAGTTACAGGAGATCTTGTTTCATATCTGCTCCTCCAGAGACAGCATGGACATGAGGGTTTCATGGTGAGGGTCCCACAGGACAGGTTAGTGCAGTCACACAGCCGAGCTGGAGGAGGACAGGTGTTGTCCTGCTTTATATTGCAAGCTTGTGTGTGTTATGTGCTTTACAGCCAGCAATCCAAACAGCAGTGGTACCCCCCCCCCCCCCCCCCCCGCCCTCTTGCTTCTGGGTCTTTTTTGTGTGTGGCTCTCGGACCATTATAATTAAGGACCCCTGCTTTAGGCCTTCTCTCGGTTGGACGTGCCTGGAAAACCTCACCAGGGAGGCATCCAGGAGGCATCCATACCGGATTTTTGAGCCACCTCAACTGGCTCCTCTCGACGTGGAGGAGCAGCGGGTTTACTCCGAGCCCCTCCCGGATGACCAAGCTTCTCACCCTATCTCTAAGGGAGAGCCCAGACACCCTGCGGAGAAAACTAATTTCGGCCGCTTGTATCCACGATCTCATTCTTTCGGTCACTACCCGAAGCTCATGACCATAGGTGAGGGTAGGAATGTAGATCGACTGGTAAACAGAGAGCTTTACCTTCTGGCTCAGCTCTTTCTTCACCACGACAGATTGGTACAAGGCCCGCATTACTGCAGATGCAGCACCAGTCCGCCTGTCGATCCCATGCTCCATCTTTCCCTCACTCGTGAACAAGACCCAAAGATACTTAAACTCCTCCACTTGGGGCAGGACCTCATCTCTGGCCTGGAGAAGGCATTCTACCCTTTTCCGTCTCAAGACCATGGTCTCGGATTTAGAGGGGCTGATTCTCATCCCAGCTGCTTCTCACTCAGCTGCGAACCGCTCCAGTGAGAGCCAAAGATCACACTCTGATGAAGGCAACAGGACCACATCATCTGCAAAAAGCTGACACTCAGTCCTCAGGAAACCAAACAGATCCATTCAGAGCAGCCTTTCAGACTCAATAAAACAGAATAAAGAACCTAACAGCATCTTCATATTTAGGTCAAATGAAACACACCCAAAAGTCTTCCTCTCACCTGTCTGGGCTCTTTTATGTTGCAGGGCTCCATCTTGACCTTTGATCCTGCCGTGAAAGCAGAAATTGCCAGGCAGAGATCCTGCTGCCGAATCAGCGGCTCTATCAGCTCCCATTTCTGTAAAAGTCAGAACAGCTGATGAGTCTGGAGTCGGCGAGGCTCTGAACACCCATCACCGTGTCTCATCATGCCCATCGCATGACCTTCAGACACAGACATCAGACCCATCTAAAGCTTTGACAGACATCATTTAGAAAGCACAAGGTTAAAGCCTGATGTTGACCTTTAGGGTCCCATCCTGTAATGATCACAGGCTGTGACGAGTAATGGTTTGCAAAAATATGAGATCATGAATTGGTGACGATTTCACCCAGGAAACTCCAGATCTTAAACCAAGTAAGGTCATATGCTAAATTTATATCAAAACAAATTTCTACATGTTATGTTTTATATGTCTAGGCCCCTACAGGTGACTTATGGAGGCATCTTCAGTAGGCTGGGGGCTCACTAAGAATCGTAGGAAAAAGCAAGAAAAATATAAAACTGACAGTCAATATTAAAAAGCACCAGAGAGAGAAAAGGGGGCTAAATCAAAGGTTTTCATTTATTTACCTGAATGTTAAATGTGTAAAAACATTTAGTTTCAACATTTACAGGCTTGTTACGTTTGACAGGTTTCAACCTGTTTTACTATTTTCATGCCAAATGACCAGAGTCTCCCTATGGTGGAGGAGCTCTAACCTGCGATGGGAGCTTGTTGGTTCCGATGCTCTTACACTCTGCCAGTCCGAGACCACCATCGGTCCCACGAGTCTCCAGACATAAACCCCCTTGTTTCAGCAGACTGAAAACAGCCTCCTGCTCAGGAACTCTGAAGAGACAAGAGACAGAAGACACGGGTCCAATTTAGATCCTATTACACCAATGAACCGATGAACTGGAGGGACGAAGAACCGGATCAGAACTAGCTCATGGAAGACTGATAAACCACTTTAGAGTCTTCCACCCAGACTTGCTTCAGTTCATAGGGTCAGAGTCAGGGTTGTGGTGGGGGTCAGAGTCAGTTTCAGAGTCAGAGTCAGGGTTGTGGTGGGGGTCAGAGTCAGTTTCAGAGTCAGAGTCAGAGTCAGATTCAGAGTCGGAGTCAGTTACAGAGTCAGAGTCACAGTTGTGGTGGGGTCAGAGTCAGATTCAGAGTCGGAGTCAGTTACAGAGTCAGAGTCACAGTTGTGGTGGGGTCAGAGTAAGTTGCAGAGTCAGAGTCAGGGTTGTGGTGGGGGTCAGAGTCAGTTTCAGAGTCAGAGTCAGATTCAGAGTCGGAGTCAGTTACAGAGTCAGAGTCACAGTTGTGATGGGGTCAGAGTCGGAGTAAGTTGCAGAGTCAGAGTCAGGGTTGTGGTGGGGGTCAGAGTCAGTTTCAGAGTCAGAGTCAGAGTCAGATTCAGAGTCGGAGTCAGTTACAGAGTCAGAGTCACAGTTGTGATGGGGTCAGAGTCAGATTCAGAGTCGGAGTCAGTTACAGAGTCAGAGTCACAGTTGTGGTGGGGTCAGAGTAAGTTGCAGAGTCAGAGTCAGGGTTGTGGTGGAGGTCAGAGTCAGAGTCAGGGTTGTGGTGGAGGTCAGAGTCAGAGTCAGTGTTGTGGTGGAGGTCAGAGTCAGAGTCAGGGTTGTGGTGGGGGTCGGAGTCAGTTTCAGAGTCAGAGTCAGAGTTACCCCTTCTTTCCACCGGAGCCGTCAGCAGCACGTTACTGCAGCAGCACGTCTTGCTCGCGTAAGCTGCTGCTTGGCCCTTCCCACGAGACGTGAAGCAGCAGGGGAGCAGCTGTCACCGACAGAGCACGAAGTCACACGAGTGACTTCATCAGTAAACACAGCATGCAGGAGAAAACTACAACATGGCTCCAAAAGGTTTGTGTTTTATGTTCTGTCCGTTTTAAAATTGCCAATACGGTCCTGGTGATAACTTCTCACGGGGCCGCACAGTTAGTAACTTTTTTCTAAAGTAAAGCAACCAGAAGGCAGTACGTTTCTTTATTCTGAAAATCTCTGGAGCTTCGCTCCATTTCCGCGTCCGATTTCCTGTCTTTCCTTCCCCAAAAATGTCGAACTTGACCCGTTTCAGAGGCGTCACACGTAGAAAATAGAACCAGCGCGTAAGGGCCGCGACATGCTGCTCTTGAGACATGGCCGACTTGCGCTGCTGACGGCTCCGGCGGAAAAGGTTCTGTTGACCACAGCGGTTCCTATCAGCAGCTATGACGTACTGCTGCAGTAACGTGCTGCTGACGGCTCCAGTGGAAAGAAGGGTTCAGGGTTGTGGCTGTGATGGGGGTCAGAGTCAGAGTCAGGGTTGTGGTTGTGGTGGGGATCAGAGTCAGTTTCAAGTCAGAGTCAGGGTTGTGGTGAGAGTCAGAGTCAGTTTCAGAGTCAAGAGTCAGAGTCAGGGTTGTGGTTGTGGTGGGAGTCAGAGTCAGAGTTAGAGTCAGAGTCAGGGTTGTGGTTGTGGTGGGGATCAGAGTCAGTTTCAGAGTCAGAGTCAAGAGTTGCGGTGGGGGTCAGAGTCAGAGTACGGGTTGTGGTGGGGGCCAAAGTCAGAGTCAGGGTTGTGGTGGGGGCCAGAGTCAATTTCAGAGTCAGAGTCAAGAGTTGTGGTGGGGGCCAGAGTCAGGGTTGTGGTGGGGGTCTGAGTCAGTTTCAGAGTCAGTGTCAGAATCAGAGTCAGTCAGAGTCAGGGTCACAGAGGTATAATTTTTGTTTGTTTTTATTAAAAATGGGATAACAAATATTTTTATAAAGGTGACCGTGTTTCTCACTCAGAGATCCAGATCAGAAAACCATTTAAGCCTGGTGAAACAGAGTTTAGAACTGTTCATCTGTCAATCGTTGAGTCCTCCTTAAAAGTATGAAGCAAAAAACATTCAGAGAATTTTTTTGATGATCCAGTTTGGAGTCAAGCCTCAAATCTGACTTCTGTAATCCAGACCTGGACCAGACTCTGTGTGACTGGCTCCCTCTCTGCTGTGCTTTGGCATCTGCCCATTCAGGGAAAATTGTGCAAGACTGTTGTGATCTTATTGCAAAGTGTTAGTTTCATAATATAATATAAATTTTTCCCTAGGATTTCAAGATTAATCCCAAAACAAACGTTGAGCTCAAACTTTAACCTGATTCATTTAAAGACAGCACCTGAGTTCAGGATAGACGCTCTCCATGTACCAGCGGAAAGGTTTGCAGTTTAATTTCCTCCTCAGCGTCAGACGATCTGCGATGCTGCAATAAAAAAAATAATCAAATGACCAGACAGCAAACAGAGCACAATGTTGGATTTAGAGGCGATGGGATTGTGGGACAGGGGCGGCGTTAGGCCCGGCTACTTGGGCTCAAGCCCCGAATGTTTTATGAAAAGCCCCAGATCTAAAACGTGGAAGAAACATGCAGTACCAAAGTCTAACAGGGAGGGAGCAGCTGGCTGTAGTTTGTATACAGCCTGCCTGAGCCTCCACCACTGAAGAAGAAGCCCTTCAGCAGCCGGCTTCTTCTACAGTCTCTGCCTGAAACGCATGAGTGAAGATGGACATAAGGACGTTTTTTAGACAAAAATTACCGCGACAGAACCCCAGCTTTGATGAGACTGGCGTTGACTCAGGTTTGTGAGTCTTATTTTAAAATATTTGTTGTGCTGCTGGTTTGCCTAAAGTTAGCTTATCAGGTAAAGTGGTTGGAGAAAGAAAGGGAATATTTACTATCATCTCACACTAAACACTAACAGGAACAATACTCTGCCCTGAAAATGCTTAATATGTAGCTTCAGATTAAAAATTATGTGGTACAAGACATATATGATGTTGACTAGTGCGTGTCACGTGTGTGTGTGCGCGCGTGTTAAGCCCCGGATCTTCTTCAGTCCTAAATCCGCCCCTGTTGTGGGATATAAAAAAGGAGAAACATGGAGTGATTAGAGAACATCAATCTGCCCTAACGACCATCAGAAACTATTTCTGCTAATGGAATGATTTTATTATTTTAAATCTTCCCTCAAATCCACAGAAACATGAGAAAAGCTGAAATAAATCACAACTAAGTTCAGTTGGTTTTAATTAAATATGAAAAGCAGAGAAATCATAAATGGTTCCCCTGGTAACCAGTAGAGATGTGGCTGGCTTTTGTATGTTCTTACATAAAGAACCCTTCCACCCTCATGTTTAATAAAAGACTAACCTTCCGAAGGCCTTGCCCTGAGCAGACGGCCGCGCAGAGTAGTAGTACTGTTTATACTCGTCCATCCACACCTCAGCCGCCCGTCGGGTGTTCCTGTACAGACAACACCTACTCAGGTACGGTAATTACACTGCTGCTGCATTCCTGATTCAGCTCTAATAACAGAGGAGCCTCCAGACCAGGGGTCTACAACCATCTCCACCAGCTGCAGTCAGCTCAGAGCCACAAAGTTAAGTTCACACTCATGTATAAGAGGGAAAGAACAAACGAGTTCTGTGCAGGAGAATTGTGCTGAGATATATCTGTTGCTCACATATATGTAGAGGTTGAGTGGCAATAACTCACTGGGCCCTGGCAAGATGGGCTGGGGTCTCCATGCCCTGGGTGGCATTTTGACAACAGAGGTGCCTATAGGGGCCAGTGGGGGAGCTGGCTCCCTGGAGGGCTAGGCCCAACCAGCCATTCCTCCCCATACCTGCATATTTCTCTCCTCCTGCTCCCTCACATCATCACACAAACATGCACATAGGACCTTGGGGGGTGGGCAAGTCAGGGAGTGCGGGTATGGACCGTATGGACCCCATTTCCGCATTCCTGTGGCAACCTGCCCCCCAATTTTATCTGCACCTTAAACACTTCCACCAACGACATTCCACGCAAACACACACTTAGGGCCTTGGGAGTGAGCACATTCAACGGCACTTGGCAGGGGGATTTTTCAGCCTCATCCCGAGTGCCGGTGCCCACTTCCAATTTTAAACTGCACTTAGATACCGAGGGCTGTGGGTGCAAGTGGGGTGGTGTGGTGGCATCAGCTGGCATAGGCCAGATGATGCCCGCACTGCCCGCTCACCACAGCCATGGAATACACCCCATCAACACACAACAACACTATATTGGAGCAGGTGGAGGGAGACTAGGGGGTCTTAGCACACCTCTGTTGTTGCTTGGCTTCCTGGGGCTGGAGGCTAGGAGGGAGATCTGGCCGTCTGGTTGGGGTCTGGGGTGGTGGGTTGCTGTGCTCAGCGTTGGGCGCGGGAGCCTGCTCATCAGCACCCCAGCAGAAAAGGTCAAACTCTGGTAACCGGTAATGGTTGTACCCCATGTGCAGCAGTACCGGGACCAGAGTGAATAGGGTGTGTATGGGGAGCATGAGTGGGTGTCCGGCGTGCATTTTTGTAAGTCTTTGGTTGTATGTGCATGTGTGAGCATGAGGGAGGGAGTGTGTGACTGTGTTTGTGTATGACTGTATATGTCAGGTGGGGCCTTTGACTCCTCCCCTCTCATGGGACTTCTTTTGATGATATAGATCTTCGTCTCCCCTCTCCCTGCCACACCTGGTGTGGGGTGTGGTGCCTTGGTCTGCCCTGGGTGTTCGTGGCTCCCAGGTCAGGGGGTTTAAGGTTTTTGGCGTCTGCCTGATCAATCCCGGTGGCTGTCTGGTGGGGTCTAGGTCCCTGGGCTCTGCTGGGTCCCCGGCGGGTGTGGTTGCCCCTGGGTCCCGGGTCGCTGGGTCCCGGGCTCGGCCGACTGGGGGTGGGAGGCTGCGGGCGGGCCTGTGGGCTTGCCGCTGACATCTCCCGGGACTCTGCCGGCTGCTGGTTGTGGCCCCCCGGGGCGATCCTCTGCGCCTCTCGAGGGGGACGGGGGCCTTTCTGGTTGCAGTCTCCTTGGGGTTCCTGTGTTCTGGGGCAGCGCCTGGATCTCTGGGACTTGGAGCTCCCCCCGTCTCCTACACATCTTTGGGGGGCAGATCTGTGGTCCCTCACACTCTCTATGGGACGCTCCAATAGAGAAACCTTACATAAACAAGCGTGTGTACACACACAGGTGCTCACATGGTGCTCTCATAAGTATGGGCTTGGGCACGTTCAACACATGTCTCAAGGCTGTCGTTGCCACTAAATGCACTATGATTTATTATCGTGTGATTGTTCAGTTAAACAATGTTGATTTTATATTTCATCATCAGGCTGACGCAGTGATAGCTTGCTCCTGATGTATTGTTGTGTGTCCCATTTTTTTATTCTTTCTCTTTCTGCAGGTCACACCTTTTTTCTTTTCCTTTCTCTTTCACCTCTGACTCCGTATCTGGTCGGAATTACAAAGCATTCAAAAACAATAACAATAAAGTTTTAAGTATCAGGCGTGACATTAAAAGCAAACGCTTTGATGCTCCACCTGAGAGTAAATCTGTAAGGCTTGTCACCAGCATTCAGACATCAATTCTGTTTGCTTCACAGCCAGACAGGACACAGGGGAAAAAAAAGGAAATAACTCACTTAGATAATGATTAGACATTGGCATCTTGGGGGAAGCTTGTTGGTCATTATAACAGTTTTATTAGTTTCATTCTGCAAAAGGAAGTTCCTTTTTCTTAGTGTGGGAGAACAGTTAACCCGCGATATTGGGTAATACCCAGGTGCTTTAAACAACCCACTCACTTAATGTAGGTGAGAGCGTTGCCCTCTGGGAAGTCGTATGGATGACGTTTCCTGAACACGTGACCAACCCGGCTGCAGGGGAGAATCTCCAGACTTCCTCCACACATCCAGACCCGGAAGGAGAGTTCTGCATGGGAGGATGAAGCGGTTTCTGTTTGTCAGCTGATTTAGTTTATCGTCTCAGCATCTTTAACACCATCAGCACCCTGGGACCCCATCTCCTATGTAACTGGACTATTTGTGACAAAAACACCAAGATTTCAGCCCTGAATCAGTGCATGCACATCTAAAATTATCTTTTTAATCAGAAGTTAAAATACCTGCATGATTAAATGAAATGTAGACTTTCTAAAATCAACATTTATGGATTTTATTTTTCCGAGATCAGCATTTCTCTTTGAACACTGAGGTGTGATTTATTTATTTTTTTGTTTGTTTTAAACGGCAGTTTTATTTAATGTGTGAGAACTTTACTTTTCTTTATGAAACTGATCATTGAAATAATCTTGAGCCTAATCTTGGATCCGATGAATTAATCAGGTTTCCTGTGGAGGTTGATGTGACCTCACCGAAGTTCTCCCCTCCCCAGATGTCCATGTGTGTGTCGTACTGCCCCAGGTGGTTGAACCAGCTCTTGTCCATGACGAAAATCCCTCCGGCAATCACAGGAGTCCTGAGAAATCAGGAGGGTTTCACTTCTCATCCTCATCAATCTGGATGCTTTTACGTTAGATTTAACTTCCTACAAAGCAAACAACTTTACAAAAACTCATCTTTTCTGTTTTGTGCTAATCTCAATGAATTAGTTTATAATTACATGTTGGAAATGATTCATACACACAAAGTCATTCCTGACTCAGTTCTAAAGGTTCAACACATCAGAGCAAAACAAAAAACATTCAGATGTTTATTTTTTCTTTATTCCTGGTAAAAACAGACACTATTGAGAACAGAGTTGCCTTGACCTTTAACCTTTAATCTGCTAACTGAGACTGAGGCCTAGTCCACACGTAGCCGGGTTTTTGTAAAAACGAATATCCGCCCCTCCAAAAACTTGCATCCACACCACCTCCTTTAAAAAAAACTGTCCACACGTACCCGGATAAATACGTTGTTAAGGACATGCCAGACCTGTAGGCGGCAGTACTTCCCCCGTTCTTAACCTCGTCCTTCGTCTGTGGTCTTCTGCAAGGAGCAGTAATTCCGCTTGCAAAAACAAACAAGCAGAAAGCGCTTGGACAATTGATAAAGCGAGCGCAGCTCTGAGGGCTTCCATGCTGTCGGCTAGTGTAAACACAGGTCGCACACGTGATGTCAGCATTTTTTTGTCGCGGAAAGTGACGTTGCGGAGCTTAAAACTCCGGTTGTGTCCGTCCACACGCAGACACCCAAAACGGAGAAAACGCAGATCTTCACTTTGGCCGGAGTTTTTAAAAAGATCCGTTTTCGTGTGAAAAAACTCCGTTTTCGTGTGGATGACAGGCCAAAACGTAGAAAAATATCTACGTTTTGGCAGATCACCGGCTACGTGTGGACAGGGCCTGAGGCTGTTGGTTATGCTGTTATTTCTCTGACCTCTGACATCAGCGTCAACCTGCTGGACTGTCCTCAAGGTTTTCCACTTGTGAGTAATTGCTCTCTCTGGAGAATGCTGGACTCTAGATCCTTTGCAAATGACCTTTGACCCTTCTCTGAGGTCTGTATGCTCCAGAACTGATGATGATCTTTTAATCGCTAATCTGATCATCTGGCTGATCACGAACCTCTGGAATCATAAGTCTTTATTGTTACTCCCAATTTCTGTTGTATAGATATTGATAAAAGTTGTGTTTTTATCCTGTTATGAGAGTTAAGGTTAGGGTTAGGCGCATTTATCTAGTGATGATGTAACTCCTGAACGTGAAAACACTGAACTGACTACATCATGCTACATCATGACAGTCAGGGTGGTTACGCAGTCCTGGTACCTTATTGGCTGTGTGGGGTTGCTCCGGGCCATTTTCTGCTCTATAGGAATCTGCTCCCATTTGAAGTGGAGACTCCAGTCGAACCCTGAAACACCAAACCCGAACAGCTGTGATTGATAAACCATAACCTCTAGAAATACGCCCTAATGTGGACAAGAAGACAGATAGGAGTATTCGGCTGCTTTTGGCAGGAGAACGTTTTATGATCTCATTCCGTAAATTGTGTTTTAATCCACATGAATCACAGCTCTGCTGCATCCAAACTAAAGAGCAAATATCTAGACTCTGGTTCACTCAGGGGGACTGGCTTAGTTCTGTTTGGAATTATGATTACATGCAGAAAGACTTTCAATAGGGGATTTTTCTCAGCTGTGTGTGTGTGTGTGTGTGTGTGTGTGTGTGTGTGTGCGTGCGTGCGTGCGTGCGTGCGTGCGTGCGTGCGTGCGTGCGTGTATGTGTGTGTGTGTGTGGTGGGGTCCCAACCTCCTCTTAGATCAGCAGAAGCAGCCAAGTAGGCAAAGTTGTCCAAGCTGATGACGTCAATGATGGGGCTGACCACTCGAGTGTGATCCTGAGAAGAGAGACATCCTTCTTTAATACCAATAAACACTGAAATATTTAACTTTTCTTCGTCCACACAGCAGTCTGAGGCCTTTGCTCCTGTTATCATAAATTAGCTTGTCGATCCTGTAAGTGTGATGGTTTTCATTCTAGGCAAACAAAAAGAAGGGGGTAAAAAAAAATCCATTTTTATTTTTATTCCATTTAACCTTCGTTTTACCAGGAGTACCCCTGATGAGATTCTACTCTACTATGAGTAGAGAGCAGTAGAGAACCCTAACCTGGTTAAAATAGGTCCAAAACAAAGTTAAAGTCATTCCACACTGGTGAAATTACATCTCTGCATTTGACCCATCCCCGTGGGGAGCGGTGAGCTGCAGCTGTGGCCACGCTCAGGAACTATTAGGTGGTTTGACCCCTCAATCCAACCCCTTAAAGCCGAGTCTAAAAGCCGGACGACATTGGGTCCCATTTTTGAAGTCTTTGGTATGACCCGACTGAGACTTGAACCCCGATCTCCCAGTCCCAGGGCAGACACTGTACCAGTAGGCCACTGAGAAGGTAAACAAAAGAAATACAATAAAACACAGACAAAAAAACTACATTGAAAAACACTTTTTGGTTCAAAGCGACATAAGTTTTATTGATATTAGCAGAAAATAGGTAAAAACTACCCAAAAGAACTAAATAAAACATCAACTCACACCTTACAGTCTTCAAAAAGCAAACATACAAACATCACAATAATGTTCTTAAGGTAGCAGGCTTTTATTACAGAGGTTTCAAGAGTAACATCCTATCTGATGGTCTTAAATTTGTTTTGTTTATTAATATTTTTCTTTGCTCCCAAAGGTCATTTGCTGTTGTGGCCCCCAGACTCTGGAACTCTCTCCTCCTGAGGCTTAGATCAGTGGACTCAGTGGTCTCCTTTAAAAAGCAGCTGAAAACCCACCTGTTCAGGCTTTGTTGTGACCTTCATCGCCTTCTCCTCATTCTGCTCTTTTTACCAACTCCGACCTTTCCCAGGATCCCGATTTCCCTCTTTTTTATTCATTTTATCTCTCCCTTTCTGCATATTTTTAAATCATAATTATTTATTTTTTCTCATTTTTAAAAAGCATTTTTTTACGTTTTTGTTCTTGTGAAGCACCTCGGGATTTTTATCTTGAGAGGCGCTATATAAAAGATTGGTTCCTTTCTTTCTTTCTGTTTTCAAGTTTTTTGTTCTTCTCGGTTTGGGGTCTAATTTCTGGTCCAGTTGTCACCACACACGTGTTACCTAGAGTTACTTGTTGGTAACAGACTGTTAGGTCAGGTCACGCTGGCTCAGCTCGGGTCGGGTCATGTCGGATTGGATCAGGTCGGGCCGAGTCAGCGTTGTTTGCTCACCTCTGTGAGTGTTTGTTTAACTGAACAGCTGAAACCATCCCAGCCAAACTGCTAGTGAAGATAAATCTAATGAAGCTGATCTTTGTTAATGGATGCCATCAAGTTTCTCTTCCATCTAATCCTTTGTCTTCTTTCAAAAGTTACTGCAGTAGATCAGAAAAATAATAATCTTGCGAGTAAATAAATAACCCCGTAAACTGGAGCTGTCTTATTGACTTACACAATTTCCATGACTGTTTCTTTCCTTCATCTTTCAATAAACCCACATCAGTCTGTGAGTAGGCCAACCCAAGCACATCTGGAGTTAAAGGTCAACACCCACACTTTACTCTTTTATCTGTTTGTCATTCTGAAAAAGCGTCTATGGTAAGTTTCCAACAGCCTCTGATTTATAGAATGAATTCTCTTTTACTTTTTTTTTTAAACAAATTACGAGCAAGCTGTGGGTTTAACTCTTTTAATGTTTTCCTTTTTACTGCTGCACTAAATGATGGTGGAGTCTTAATGCAGCCACTGACAAAAAATATCTGGCTTCAAATTCACTTCAGAACTTTAGAAATATTTTTTAGGACTTTAAATGAAAAGGATCTAATGAAAGCTCACAATCTAGTGAGATAACAGCTGAGCTGGAGCAGCTGGAACAGAAATCTTCACACAAAGGCAGGAAGTTTAATTCAATTAAATCTGTTTCAGTTGAGCTGAATTAACAAATGACACGTGGCATTGTGCTGAAACCAAGAACGTCCTTCTGTTCCCAGGAGTCCAAATCCAGGACAGTGATGTGCAGGAATCAACTGAATCCAGAACCTGGTAAAGCCAAGCTTTGGTCTGCTGATTGATCTCAGAGCAGGAGGCTGTCATACAGACTGAACCATGTCAGCCTGAAGCCAAGTTTGCTTTTCTATCCATATTAGCACTCTGCATTGACTTCCATTCATTTTAGTAACTGCATTTCTGCCTAACCCAAACTCTTACCCTTACCCTAACCATAACCAGTGTATTCCTAAATCTAACTAACAAAGACTCAATTCACATCTTACCTCTAAACCTCACGCCTAAGCCTAAAATAGGGGTCCACCTTATTAGGACTGGGTTTTGGTCCTGGTTTTGGTGAATATGACAGTTTTGGTCCTAGTGTAATGTCCAGAAATGGTCAATTTTGACCTATATATTGACCTACATAGTGACCGGTCATCTACAGAAATGATTCTACTATCTAGGTGGATTTTCTATTCTATCTTCTAACACCAAGAAGATTCTGCGGTGCTTGTTGACGGTCCATGAAGACACGATTGTCAAACTTATCGCAGACTGCTGGATTGCACACTGACTGAAAAGTGAACTTTTACAACTCATAAGTTAAATAATCATATGGTTGAATGAACCAGATGTTATATGAAATGTTTGAATAATCTGTGCCTAATTCAGTGAAGTTGAAGTGAATATTGTCCTTACAATGATCCATTTATATCTTATGATCAGTACTGTTTGATTTAACAAGCTAATCATTATCTACACTCATACACAATGTTCATTAGATGCAAATTAAGGTTAAGGTCACCTCACATAAAGTTTAAAGATTCTTTTTCCACAGAATTAGAACAGCTTGTATCTGGAAGGTGTGGTTTTCTGAGGGATGTTTGGTAAAGCCTACACTAGGTAGGATAACCTAACAAGTGTAGCGTCATGAATGGCCTCTAATTTGTGAACCAAAGGTCACACTATCCCAGCTGGGTCAAGCTGGGTCGAGCTGTAACGTTGTCCCACAGATTAACCCAGGAGTCGTGACGTCTGCTAGACACCATCTTTATCTGCTGCTGTTCCGTCCCAAGATGAAGGACACTTCAAGATTTTAAAATAAGAATTTTTATATAATAATTTTAATAAACTCTTTGATTTTATTACTGTTTATTACAATCATCATAAATAATCATCTTGGTTCAGTATAAATGTATTTAATTACTGGAATAACTTATGATTTGGGTAATAATAATTATTATTATTTATGATCATCAGTAATGTGTGTTCAGTACACCAGAAGGTCATTTGCACGTTAACCACCTCATGCAGAAGGTGTATCCAGGGTAAAGGTAACCACCTCACATGTCTTTACTCCATAACATCGAGCTTTCTGACGCTGAGAGGGCGTGTTCTGAGGTTTTGTTAAACCCAAATCTCCGCAGCTGAACATGAGTTCTTGAACCATACCGGAGGACGAGGGTCGGCCGCCCCAGCCTCACTGAGCATTCTGTCACGCCGATAGACCCCCCCCCCCACACACACACACACACACATACACACATGTGTTCTGTGCTGGGGCCTCTGCTCTTCCTCCTCTATCTGCTTCCTCTTCAGCACATCCTGAGCTCCTTCAAAGGAATCTCCTACCATCTTTATGCAGATGACATCCAACTGTACATCTCCTTTAAGCCCCATGAGATGTCTAAGCTGCAGCTGTTACACACCTGCTTAGACTATCAAAACCTGGATGGCTGGGAGCTTTCTTCAGCTGAATGAAGATAAGACTGAGATCCTCATCTGTGCCCCAGACAAGCTGGTTCCCAAAGTCAGAGACTCTCTTGGTCAGCTTGCTTCCCACACCAAACCTTCCGTCAGGAATCTTGGCGTGACCTTTGACCCAGCTCTCACCCTGGATTCTCATGTCAGTTCTCTTGTTCGCTCTTCCTTCTTCCATCTCAGGAACATTGCTAAGCTGAGTCCCATTCTGTCCCGCTCTGAACTTGAGACTGTTCTCCACACCTTCATCTCCTCACGCTTAGACTACTCTAACTCTCTTTTCACGTGTCTGAGCAGAACCTCCCTGAACCGTCTACAGGTGGTTCAGAATGCCTGTGCTTGGCTTCTGACCAAGTCCTCCAAACACACCCACATCACCCCGCTTCTCCTCCAGCTTCACTGGCTGCCAGTCAACTTCAGGGTTCATTTCAAGATCCTGGTTCTGGTCTATAGGGCCTTACATGGACAAGCACCATCTTACATTGGTGATCTTCTTAGTCCCTACACCCCCAGCAGGTCCCTGAGGTCCAGTGATCAAAGCCTACTGGTTGTGCAGCACCAGGCTAAAGGTCAAAGGTGACATATCGTTTGCTGCTGTGGCCCCCAGACTCTGGAACTCTCTCCCCCTGAGCCTGAGATCAGTGGACTCAGTGATCTCCTTTAAAAAGCAGCTGAAGACTCACTTGTTCAAGCTGGCTTTTGTATGACCTTCTTCAACCACTCTCTCTTTATTCTGCTCTCCCCATCTAATCCACCTTCCTCAGGATCCACTGATTTCCCTCTTTCCTATTCACTCTCTCTCTTTCTTAACATTTTTTTAATCACAATTGTCTATTTTTGCTCATTTTAAATATATTTTTAAACATTTTCTAAATGCTTTTTTATATTTTTACATTTTTTGTTTTTGTGAAGCGCCTCGTGATTTTTATCTTGAGAGGCGCTATAGAAATGATATTTTCTTCTTCTTCACATTTACATTATAGTTTTAAGTACTTGATAATAAGAAATTCAAACACGTCAAAACCCTTAACACTACCACATAATATTCAAGCATTTAAAGGTTTTCAGATGTGGACCCTGAACGTTCCATCTCCTTGAGCTTGA